AATCTTAATATTTAATGATACTATGCTATTACTGTTGACATTATAGAAGGCTATTATCAATGTTTAAAAGAATAGCCATTAACAAAGCTTGATTATTCCTTTTGTTTTTTTGTTCTCTAAGTAATAGGGATGATAATGGATCGAGTTTTGGGTAGGTTTCTCAAAACCTGAATTTGATTCATAAATTAAAAAGTCTAGAACCTATTTCTGGTGTTAGACGAGTTTTAAAAATAACATTTAACTTGATTTGTACGGATTTTGTATTAAAATTGACTCATTTCATGCCGTTCGTTGTATAAATTTTACTTTTATTTAATTAAAATTAAACATACAACATTATTGTCCTTCAAACCAAACTCGAATGGTCCGTAATGGTAAAAAAATTTATAAAACTTAAATTGACGACGTTCAACTCAATTTTAGTTAAAAATCAAAATGAAATTAAGTGAATTAGTTTAGGTTTACTAGATCCCATATTTTTGTCCCACCTGGATCGTAATTTATTTTTTATTTTTGTGTGATTTTAAGATAAAAATAGAAAATCAATTGAGTTAATGAATTGAATAAAATATCAGTTTATTACTGGCATTTATTTATTTAGAGAAATCAAGAGCAGAATAACAGAAGAAATATTGACTCACAGCTCAAAGTTAAAGACTTTGAGATCTAATTATAATTACTTCCTCTAAAAATTAAAATTTTCAGGAAATTTTTTAATCACCATCCTTAAAAGTATGATTAATGTATCTTAAATGTTTAATTAAGTGTTGAGATAATAAACACACTGGAAACTGATTTAATCAAGTTTTATCTCCCGATTTAAATTACATCAGGTTAGTTCAAAGAGTTTTGTAACGGCAGGATGATTATCAAAGATTCTAAAATTGACTCTTCACCTACCTCTCGCCCTTGCTTCATATAAAAGGTCAACTTTCTAGAATACCTCATCACCTCCACAAAGAAAAAGTCCGCAGATCAAGCGGTTGAGATTTGCCTTCTTTTTGTTCTTCCTCGTGGGTGGATGTATATCTGACGGAGGATGATAACACTTTCTTCCCACCTCACCTTCTAGAAACTTGCATAACATTGCAATCATTTCAATTTGTTACATTATTAAAACTTCCTTAACCACCAAAAAGTAATGTGTACTGGGGTTTTAATTACTTTTTGTGGAGTTCATTTATATATAATCTGCATGACCAATATTATAATTTAAAATATGTAGATTTGAAAACTTGGGTAATGTCCATATGAAACAAATTAAGGAGTCAATTTTAGTAACTTGGAATATTTCCTTGTGTCCAGCTAGTATACCTAGCTTGGGATTGGCAAAAGACAGAAACGGTGTCTTGATGGATATACATAATATATAAAGAATGTGCTAAATTTCCCTACCGAAGGTTCCATGAAAATAAACAAATAAATCCTCCACTAAACCAAAGAACAAAGTCAAGAGGGGTAACCGCGTCTTTTTCCCTCGGAACCAACTTTAGCAGACTAATAGAAATAATCAAAACCGAATTTGACATGTGCACCAAGAACTTGCAGAACTCTTTCTCCATTTGATCTCAAGAGCAGTTGGGTTGATTTGAAAAATCCATTCATCTCCTCATCATAATATATATATATATATATATATCTCTCCCTTTCCGGGTACCCATACAATTCCTTCCTCTAAAAGCTTTTACCAACAACTCTAATACATACTTTTATTTCATTACACTATTCAATATTCAAGAATCATCTTATCATACATACATATCCATCCATCTCCGATTTAAGTTCTAACAAGGAGCTGCAATGACTCAGTTGAAGAAAACAACGTGGAGATCAATATTTCTTCCAAGCTGTTACAAGGTTCATGATGAGGAGATCCACGACCCACCACCAAAGTCTAAGAAGGAGGTGACAAAGCAGAGTTCATTTCAGAGGATTTCCATTTTGGATCTGAGTAATCCAGGCTCCACCACCTTATCTGAAGATCTCTCTCACTCTCTTGCCGGTTCTAATCTTCACGTTTTCACGCACGCCGAGTTAAAACTCATAACCCAGAATTTCTCTTCCAGTAATTTTCTCGGCGAAGGTGGGTTCGGTCCGGTGCACAAGGGCTTCATCGACGATAAGCTCAGGCCAGGCCTCGACGCTCAGCCCGTTGCAGTCAAGTTATTGGACCTGGAGGGTCTGCAAGGACATAAGGAATGGCTGGTGAGTTATCTTTATTCGTTATTAACCTTCTAGTAATTTTAGATGTCATTTTATTTAACCTTTTGGCTTTTTTATTAATTAATTTCTACTTTCTCTTTGATTCCAGACTGAAGTAATCTTTCTTGGGCAATTGAGGCACCCGCATCTTGTGAAGCTCATTGGGTATTGCTGCGAAGAAGAGCACAGGCTTCTGGCATATGAATATATGCCACGAGGCAGTTTAGAGAATCAGCTTTTTAGAAGTATGTATTTCTTCCTCTTCTTCTTCTTATTCTTCTTCTCTTTATTAATTGAGTGCATATTTATGACAAGAGATTAAATCTTATTATTAATTTTCTTTGGTGGGTGCAGGATTTTCGGTATCATTACCATGGTCCACCAGAATGAAAATTGCTTATGGAGCAGCACAAGGGCTTGCCTTTCTCCACGAGGCAGAAAAGCCTGTCATCTACCGCGATTTCAAGGCTTCTAATATTTTGTTAGACTCGGTAAGTCTTCTACTCTCTGAAAATCATCTCCAACATAATTAATTTCATTAACCCATTTGTTTAATTAGCAGCAACTGATTTGGGTTTGATTAATTTGCAGGATTATACAGCGAAACTTTCAGATTTCGGACTGGCAAAGGATGGGCCTGAGGGAGATGACACTCATGTTTCAACACGAGTTATGGGAACACAAGGCTACGCTGCGCCTGAGTATGTAATGACAGGTCACTTAACCGCAATGAGCGATGTGTACAGCTTTGGAGTAGTCCTATTAGAGTTGCTAACAGGGAGAAGGTCAATGGACAAGGGGCGTCCCCAAAGAGAACAAAACCTGGTAGAGTGGGCAAGGCCGATGTTGAATGATGCCAGGAAGTTGGGAAGAATAATGGACCCTAGGCTTGAAGGACAGTACTCTGAAAGTGGGGCTAGAAAGGCAGCTGCATTGGCTTATCAATGTCTGAGTTACAGACCCAAGCAGAGGCCAACAATGAGCAGTGTGGTCAAAATCCTTGAGCCACTCAAGGACTATGTTGACATCCCCATAGGAACCTTTGTTTACACAGTTCCGGCAGATCAACCTGCTGAGGATCCGAAGGAAACTGAACACAAAAAAGAAACCAGCAAGAAAGACAATTCTTCCCACCACCACCAGCATCACCATAACCATAAGCTTCATAATCAGCAATTCAAATCGCCTAATAGGTCTCCTCTTCACCCACGAGCAGCCGCTCGCCATCAGCATGGTTCTCACTCTCCCTTGCACCACAATCACAAGGATTGATGCATACATACATGCATATCAAGTATATATCACACTGTAAATATAAGTTTTACTGTTAGATAGAGTTCAAGGCCGGGGTTTGCATTATAGGTCTATGGTTTTTTTGTTTTTTTTCAAATCTTTAAAATCTAAGGATGAAATATTCACTTGGGATTTTGGTACTTTGGAATTATACAGCAACTTTTTTGTCTTTGAATTTGTACAAGTAGAGGCAGACCAAAACTTTAGAATTTTATTTTTTAATGGGAGCCAATGTAGAAGATAGATCAAACAACCACATTCACCAACTACAGATATGTCTTGTCAAAAGAATATAAACAATTTGCCTCTACATTCAACATTTGTTCAATCCAGCTAAGCAGACTTTTTCTAATAAACCGCGTTGTTGCCTTCGGCTATTTTGACTCCCAACAAAAAGACAATATTATTTATTTTTTCTGCAATTGGTTTTCTTTCTTTTCTTTTTCAAGTGAAGGGCCGCAAAAATCCTACTTGGACTGGCAAAGCCCAAATAAGTGAAGGGCCCTCAAAATCAAGCTGAAAGGAACCAAGAACCCAAAGTTGTGGATATGAATAGTGTCTCGTTCTGGGAATTATTACAAGCCCGGCTAGAAACCATTGCACAGGCCTTGGAAGCAAATTTATGCAATCGGCCGAAGCACATAAACCATATACCTGTTGGACACTTTTCTATGAATTTGAGTGAGACTTCTCGAGGTTCTTCTCAACTTACTGGTGAACAAGGTCAAAGAAAAGTGAATAAGGTAGAGGCAGGCCCATCGGTACTAGCTAATCCGGTGACGGAGTCCTCGAATCTCTGCAATAATATTAACCAAGTCAATCCAAAACTTCTCTCATTGTCAAAAAACTTGAAGGGATGGAAGAAAATCCAATTCGGGGTGTTTGTACGAATGATCAAGTATGGTGTCTATGGGTTATAGAGTAGTCAGTAGGAAGATTGAACACCAAAAAGGCAAAGATAGAGGATAAGAAAAGAACGGCAGAGTAGTATTTTTGAGTAAAACCAAGGAAGAAACTGTTGGAAATGTTTGAAGAGATAGATAGTTGAATATAATTCTTTGTTGAAAATGAGAAAAAGAAACTAATAGAAGGACTCAAATTTTTATCTGTGGTTCTTATAAAAAATCTTAAAATACATAGATATCTATAAACACCAATACAACTCTTAAAATTTTAAATACATGAATGATAATTATTTAGAAAATTTTAAAAAATTTATATTGAATTCTAATTCATAAATCATAACCTATAAAAATTAAAGAAACATATTTATATCTTTGACTCTATATAAGATAAAAAGTTTTTAAATTATTATTTTAAATTTCCTAATTAAGTTTACTTACTTTATTAATTATTATTTTTAAAAGATAAATAATCTCATTAACTTGTAAATTATTATTTTTAACGAAAAAAAAAAAAAAAAGTGATAGACTTATTATACTTCACAAATGCTGAAATTGTACAATGTATTTAATTAAATACTTCAAAAATGCCTTTTCACGTTATAGAATGATGATATTCAAGCTTCCATTATTATCACATTGATATATAAATTTCCTAACATGGCGATTCACATATTTTTAGGGCTTTTGTACTTAAAGAATACTTACACTATCTTTAGATGAATTTTAGTGATGAATAATTAATATATAACAATCACAATAATTGAATGAATGACAATGATAGTAAATGAGAATGACAAAATTTTTTCATATTTAAATGATTGTATATTAATGTATATTAATGATACCTGTTTTGTTTGGATAATATGATGATATAATTGTATTTTCAGTCAAATTATTTATTTATTTATATTTTATTATATATAATAGTAAATGATATATAAAAAATATGTAATGAAAAAAATAAATTATATAAAAATATAATTAAATTTATATTTAAATAAATAATATTATACATAATTAAATTAAAATTTTAAATTTAATAAAATAAATAATTATCATTTATATAAAAATAGAATTTTTGTATGGAATGGTATAACATGAATTAAACATATTTTATAAGGATATAATGCAAAAAAAATTATTAGCCCATCAAATATTACAAATTCGAAAGTTTTTAAAATTTATCTCAATTTTGTAATTCGGATACTATCTGCTGACATCCAATCATATTTGAAGTAAAAACAAACATGATTTTATCATGCCCCGTGAAATATCGTACATTAATTGATTATCATTTACCACCAAATAAAGATAATGTTAACACACTAACTTTCACAATACAACAAAAGACAACAAAATTCTTATCATAAAATTCTAAAATTTATAAAAATATAATAAGTCACAAAATTTTAATAGATCAGATTCTAAAAATAATTAAACTTTGGATGGTAAATAAAGTAATAATTCTATTTCTTGAAGTGAAATTAATAAAGCATAAAATATATATATCTATTACATAACAAAATTTTTAAGTTCTCATATATGTCTTTATATATATGATAATAAAATTTAAAACTCATCACTAACAGTATACATGTATGTATAAATATAATAATATATATCTATATATTACTCAAAACTAAAAACACTGACTTCTCTAGCAATTACAATCCAATTAAATTAAATTATCATCTAACAATCACTAAACTTTCTAACAAATCACAATCTATACTCACTAATGTTATACACCCAACTTGAACTCTCTAAATATTTACTAACTCAATTTTTATGGAGGGTATCAAAATTCTTTTTTAAAAGTAATATTTTTAAACTAAACTTAAATAAACTAAAAAATTAGGTTTGAGTAGGACCCTAAGAGCACGTCAAGAAATAATTTTTGTAATTTTATTTGAAGTTTTAAAACCATAAAGACTAAGTAATATCCATAATTAATTTTTTTTTAAAATTTAAAATTAATGTATAAAATATAATTTTTAATTATAAATTTCTATTTATTGTAAAAATTAGAAAAAATAGGTGGAGAATGAATCAGAAATTAGGGGTCAAAATATAATTTAAGAAAAATGTACTATGTAGGACTGCCTAGTCAGTAGCCCCGATGAACCGAAGCGGCCCACGAGGCAAGGCACGTTAACACGGTACAATGTGGGGAGGGTCGGGAGGTCACGCTGGCAATCCACGTACCCGCGATCGAACAGTACAGATTTATTCCCGCGCGCATAGATGGTCCAGATCCGTTCTCTCCTCAGACTCGATCGTATGGTTTAGATCAAATTGAGATGAACGGTCCATATTCATTTCTTATTTAAACGCGATCGGACAGTCGAAATCAAACGCGATAGACAATCCAGATTAAAGGGATATATAAATACCTCACTTCACACTGAACCCTAACCCTAGCCACCAGCCCCCGCCGGAGAAGAAGAACCAATCGCTGGGAAAGAGAGCCGACCGCCGCCGCGCCGGAGCCATATTCGACTGCCAAAAAAGGTAAAAAAATTTTATTCGCTTGAAATTTGATTTTGAACACCCTCATGGCCAAATCGAAGCAAAAGAATTAGCAAATGAGTCGGAAATTGCGGGTAAAATCCGGCGGCGTCGTCGCAGAAAAAATAAAAAATTGCCTATGATGAGACCATTTTCGATTCCCGTTTCGTGTGATTTTGTCACCATTATATTTATCATTTTATTTTTCACAGGTTGATCGAAGAAAAATGCCCAACCGCAAAGGTGAGCTGACGAAGCTGTTGTACCGAAAAATTCTGCCACCGATAAGCTTATGTTTTTCGACTTTTTTCGGCCAATCGAGACCCCTTAACGTATTTTCTCGTAAGGATGAGTACAAAACCAGCCGAAATCGGTCGAAATTGGCCAAAAACAACCAGTCCAAGGTAAACCACCGCCGCGGGCAGCGGTGCTGCCATGCCAAAATTTTGAAATTGGCTGAAAAAGAGTTTTAATACCGATTTTTGATATTTTGGATATTTTTAGGTACTTGGAGCGTGTTTTAATCTCCGAAAGAAAATTTAGAGAGCTTGAAAACCGTCAGTAGGCGCAGCTAAAAGTTTAGTATTCGGACACCAATTCGCGTAAGAATTCCTTATCCTATTCCTTGTAACGAAATTGAAGTTTAATTATAAATAATGTGGTATTTTTTACAATTTAAAAAATTTCGATAATTAATCACAGGTTACTAATGGAGGCAGAACCAGTTATTATTCACTGTTTATCCTGTTTGATTGATTTTACAGTTTCAAATGCATAATAATACACTGGAGTTGGTATGATGATTCAATTGTGCTTTCTCGATGCATGTATTGCTTATTTTGCGTGATGTACATTTAAATTGTGAAACTGAAAATTAAATGTAAATGAAGAATGGTAGTCTTACTAGATATCATGAGAGATGGTGGGCGGATCAGGTGCATAGGGAACCCTGCCGTGAACGTTGCCTCATACTGGATAAAGTATCGAGCATTGGTATTTTGGTGCTCATACCGGACGAGGTATTGAGGGATAGTATTTTTGGCGCACATATCGGACGGAGTATGGGGACCTCTGGTTAGTTGACAATGTTGAATAAAGGTTCACGCGTAGTGATGACATCCCTATGGACCCCCACGGATACTAGTAGGCAGATAAAAAGGAAAAGTTATTATTTTTACTTAATTGAATATGAGATTATGATATTGTCGTGTTATTATCTCTATGAGTCAGTTTTGAAAATTTCACTATGGTAAGTGTACAATAATGATTTTATTTATGATAAATGAATTTACTTAAATTAAGAGTTTATTAGTTGTTTTCATGATTTTTACCAACATTTATTTCTGTATCGATAAGTAGTGTGACATTCTTACTAGGCTAGTGTAGCTCACTCTTTCATTAACCATTTCAAATCAAAAGTACCAAGATCCATATCTCGATCCACAAGAGCGTTGCGAATAGAATGTTTACTTGTTTACTTTTCATTTATTTATTTAATTTTTTGTTATTCTTTTAGAATGGTCATTCCCGTAATCCTATTGAATATTCTGAATTATTGTATAAGGAATGTAAACATTAACATTATTATTTCGCCTTTTACATTTAATTTATAATTTATTTCTCATTCTAATTTCGGTCTATTATGAACTAAGCGCACTATCAAGAATAAAAATATATTATTTTGAAAAATATAATGACCTTATAGTGATATTTATTTCTAAATATGAAAAATATTTTCAGATTAAAATGATTGAATCTCTAATTGTAGGTTGTGATATCTCTCCATCCCAAATAAACTAAAATATAATATTCATAATATTATAATATTCAAGTTTATCTTACCATACCATTCAATTCAATTTTGATGATATGAATGAGAATCGCTCGTCCAAAACTTTCTAACA